TTTTAATGCATTTGTAGAGAAGCTTTTATACCTTGCTGGCTTTGTGAGAGTGACTGTAGTAGCTACTGTTCCTGGTTCAGCATTTACAGGTGTGGATAGTGGTTATTGCGTATTACTATACAGATAAAATCCTTCTGCTCATGAAGTTCTGTGCTGTTTGTCTGAGATTTCAGTATATAGTCGAGTAGCTCACCAGTTGGAGGAACAACATTTGGTGCTTCACTATGTTTTAATGGTATATTAAAAAAGTCTTATTGTCTGTATATCTAAAATATGCATAATGTTGTTCAGAATGTCTTTGTTGATACTGTTATAGTCTGTCTTCACAAAGTGGTTGTCAGCAGTCTGAAAGATGGTAAAGGTACTGGATGATTCTGCAGCCTTATTTTGTTCTACCTGAGTAAGCAAATAGGATATTTTGAATTCTGACAGCTACACTGTTTCCTGGTTCGAGTTTCAGGAATGTGACATGGTAAAGCATAAACAGAACGTTGAGGCCCATGAAATTTTTCAAGGTTGACTTTAAATATGCATAGGAAGAAAACAGACTAGAAAATGTGGCTGATGTAGAATTTCATTAAGAAAAATCCACAAAACCCCAAAACATTGCTAGTTAGCTTGTTAATGAGACCCCAGAAGTGCATGGTTAAGATGAAAGAAATGACCATTCAGGGTAAGAAAGAGGTGTGAATTTAAACTTGCTGAGCTTTGTGATGAGTTTATCAGTCAAAGCTTCAGGGTTTTAATTCTGCTGAGTATCTACTGACTTAAATACTGTAGATGCTATAGAAAGGCTTTTCAGTAAGTATTTCAAGAAGTGACTTGTGCAATATGACTGTCCTGTTAAACTTTCAAGTATTCAAGTCTGGGATGAGTTTGATGGAGTTAAAACACTGCAAGAGATTGAGCTCCTACAAGTCTTCTGTGGTTTAACCCTGGGCTCCAACTAAGCCCCACGCAGCTGCTCGCTCGCTCCTCCCCTGCCCCGGTGGGATGGGGGAGAGAATCGGAAGGGCAAAAGTGAGAAGACTCGTGGGTTGAGATAAAGACAGTTTAACAGGTAAAGCAAAAGCGGCGCATGCAAGCAAAGCAAAACCAGGAATTCATTCGCTCCTTCCCATGGGCAGGCAGGTGTTCGGCCATCTCCAGGAAAGCGGGGCTCCGTCATGCGTAACGGTTACTGGGGAAGACAAACGCCATCGCTCCAACTTCTGGTGCCCCCCCCAGCCCGCTCGCTGGTGGGGTGGTGCGAGAGGCAGAGAAGGCCTCGACTCTGTGTCAGCGCTGCTCAGCAGTAACGAAAACATCCCTGTGTTACCAATGCTGTTTCCAGCACCAGTCCAAAACACAGCCCCATACTAGCTACTAGGAAGAAATTCAGCTCTGTCCCAGCCAAAAGCAGTACGAAGTCTCAAATCTGGGAAAGGGGGTAGAGATAATTTGATTCTAATGGTACAGCACACAATGAAAAGGATGTGTGTATTTTCAGGGCAAAATAGCATCTTGTTAGCTCTTTGAGGCAAGAGCAGAGTAACAGAGATGAGTCTTGGTTGTGAAGCCCGCAAATGTGGTGCCTCATTGCTTCACGCTTAACAGCAGGCTGTGGAACATTCGTAAAAGTTAATGGGGCCAGTGCAGCTTGGATAAGTGCAGTGCTGCTGTCATCATGCAAAATGATACTTTTCTTGTTTTGCATACGAGTCTCTTCAGAACTGCAGTCAGTCCCATATTGAGGTCTCGAGTGCTGACTGTGTTACTTCCCCTGCGGTTTCCTTAGTTGCTTTTTCTGTGGCCTCTGAATTTACATTTGAGTTGGTTCTTGAGCATGTGGATCAAAGGAGAAAAAACGGGATTGTGGCGTTATGTTCTCTGCCTATGCCTGGTAGCCTTATGTTCTGTTGTCTTGAATATGTTAGTAGCAGTTTTTAGACGGTCTCTAAAGTCCTTTACTGACAAGTAAGCTAAAGGGTTTGCTACACTGAAATACTGAAATGGCTAAGGGCGGTGAGGTTCGTATAACTGTATTAATAAGCCTGTTGACAGCCTGAGCACATATGCAATTTGCTAAGGTATTACATTTGGTCACTGTGCCCATTGTGTCAATTTTTAAACAAAGGTACTGTAAATCTTGGGGCTCTCATAAATAAGAGCACCCGAAGTTATGTTGCTTTTCGATGGAAAGGCCTCCAAGTTAGCAAAGGTATTGCTAGTTGCCCAGTAGGTGAAGAATATGTGCTAGTCAATTAGTTAGTGCCTGCCTGTCTTGGGCCCAACTGCAGCATGTTGTGGCATTTCTCGACCACGGGAAGATGGGGAGGTACTTATGGGATGCCATAGGGGAGTTGTGCCTTGACTATATTAGGAATTTAAGAGGGGAACCAGAATTGTCACGATGGCTGGTAAAGAACGGAAGCGTGTAGAAAAGATAGTAGCTTGGCATCTGGAACTTTCTTGTTATCTTTTTATGTGCCATCGCTTATGACGGTTTTGTTTTAAGCGTTTTTGGATGCGTTGTGTTATGGAAAACTGAGTGTATTTTCTGTCTTCACTGATACGAGATAATGGAAAATGTTTTCAGTTTCTGAAAATGTTGGTGAAATGCCAGCTCCTCTGCTGATGAACATTGGAAGTGTAGTTCTGTTCAGCCTACAATCTTGAGTCTCTGGGCAAAGCAACTACTCATTACTTCTGGTTGTGTTTCTGTACAGGACAAGGCCATGTATGTACCTACCTCCTTCCCCCCCTGGATAGGAATGTTTAATAAGAGTTTTCATGAAAGTTTAAAGCGCTGATTATTGCTTGCTTCAGTGCATTCAGTGAGAAGTTTAACATCAGAAATGACTTAAAAGGTTTAAAGCTTAACGGTTCAAGGTTTTGCTGGATAAAGATTCCCAGGACATTGGTGGCTATTAATTTTCCTGTAAATATTAATATACTTATTGAAGTTTTTTTCAGAGTTATGCCACTTGGCCCTTTGATGAAAGGACTTTTATAGTGGTGATACATAATAATGGAAGACCATTCAAGGTTACATATTTACTCCTTGGCAAAATGGGGAATAGGTCTGCTTTTACGGCTCTTTCAGGGTTCAAGTATTAGTTAATATTGCCACCTAATGGCAATAAGAGCAGTTGTCTGAGTATTTAGGTTTTTTCAGTGCTTTCTACTGATTGTTTTTACCCAGTCATGACTGTTCTGGTTACATCAAAGCAATTGTCAGGGAAACTTGAAATCTAGCATTTTGTTCTTGTCCTCCTGCTAGTCATAGATAATTTTAAGGCTATAAAACTGGATAAAAAGATAAGTGATTTTTGTCTCCTGATCGTTTGACTTTTGTGCTTTACCTGAGTATTGCTTTATATTTTTGGTCAAGTATTGGTGCTTAAAAAAGAAGCCTCTTTTTATTGAGAGGATAGTACAAAAAAATCTTCCAGTAACAAAGGTCTGCACATCACTTTTAACATAATTCCCCAGGCTGGTATTAGGGTAGCCCTATAGGATCATTTCAGCCCAGATGGAGTTCAGTATTACAACTTGAGTAACTTCAGAGAAGGTGTCCTGTTAATGTTTTGGGAAGGCCCTATATAAACTAGGTTAAGTATAATAATTTTGCAGAACTTAAGCAGTTGTATTAAAATTGGCGGTAATTATCTTTTGACAGCATAGCATCTCATTTGGCTAAATCAGCAGTTAAGTTAAAAAATCATAGATATTTAATCCTCGAGAGAATTTCCTAATAAAACTTCTTCAATTTTAAGTTACGTGCATGTTTGCTTAAGCCCATGAGACTTGTATCAAATGAGGTGCATTATACTTAATAAACGCTGTTTGCAGATTATATCAGGAAACATTAAACGTGCGCATTTCCATTGGCTGCCTGATTGTCAGAGTAGTTAATCATTTTCATTTATGTATTTCTGTCCTGATTGTATACCGTAGTTTTTGCACTAATTGAAAGTTCCCATGGTAATAGTTGGCTTACCATCAGACAGCATTCAATTAAGGAGAGCGTGGATTGACATGAGCTCTTCTATGAGGCAGATTTCCTAAAAATGTGGGAAAGCTGTGCGTGTGAACCTTGAGGTGATGCTAACGTTACCTGCTTGAGGCCTTGAGCAGTAGTTAAGCCTAACAGAAGACAGGTAAAACGGGCGAGCGTTGTTTTTCGCTTTGGTTTGCCTGAGCGTTTGCAAGTAGTTTTTGTGTAGGCTGTTTTACTTTGCTTCTGAGTATAATTCCTGTCTGCATGATTTTTCTCTACCAGTGAAGAGGAAAAAGAAAAACCTCATACTGGGAAGCTGGGAGGCGAGCTTGAGTAAATGGCTTGCAGTTCATGCTGCTGTTGGACTAAGAATTCTCCTGATTGGACTAGTTGTGGGAAAAGGTTTAATTCTTAACTGCGTATTTAGTATGGGTTTAAATAAAGCCACTACTTCAGAGCTGATTGCTTGCACTGTCTGTGATTGCAGGGAGGTTCTACCTGTCTTTAGGCTATGCTGAAAAGTTGCATGACTTCTTCAGTGTCTCTCAAGACTTTCTCCTTTCTTAGTATTTCAATTTTTATGTTTTAAAATCTAGTTTTAGGGAAGTAACGTTAACCTTTAACAAGTATTGGGGATTTAGAAATTGTGAAGATCTGGAGAATACCTTCAGATTGTTCAGGTTTCTAGATGACTGTGATAGTACTTCAAGGTTGATACCTGAATACATAGAGTTCGCACTAGGCTTTATAAATTTCTTTGAATGTGAAAATGCTTTACAAATATTTTTGTTTAATGTTGTAACAAAATAGTAAGATCCTTATGTTTTTGTTAAGAATACTTCACCTATGTGAAATGGATTGAGGTAGCAGATCTTAAACTTTTAAAGTGTTTGTTACTCCGCACTCAGTGACTGATATAGATTTTCTCATTCATTCCTTAGCATATAGTGATGTTGGCTAGAGGAATAACAAAAACTCAAGTAGCTTCATTTGCTTGTAATTGTTTTTTCCAGGTGGCTTCTCAACTGTGTTTCTGGTACGTACCCATGGTGGGATACGTTGTGCACTGAAACGCATGTATGTTAATAATGTGCTGGATCTCAACATATGCAAGAGAGAAATTACAATTATGGTAAGAAGCCCATTATTTGTAACTTCATAATGTATTAATTGGTAACATATGTACACCAAATGCCGCTTCAATGAAAATCGCTTCTAGACCACCTTTTCTTTTGACCTTGCGGTCCTGACGTTGCACCATTAGTTTCAGAAACTAATGTTGAGTTTAGGGTTGGTGTGTGATTAACTTCTAAAGCAATTATAAAAAATGTAGTTGATACTGAAGTCAATTTGGTCAGTACCAAATGGAAGTAAATTCTTCCAGTTCTGCGATGGTAACTTAAATTCTCAAGGCCTCTGTGTGCCACAGCTGTGTTAGCTGTGAATGATGCTGCTGGTGGCTTCCCCAAGTACTGCCATCTTGAGTAGGTGTAAGCATGTTCTTGAAGTTGCAGTCCAGTGTTGAGGTAAACGATATGAGTGTAGCCGAACTCCCCTGTCATCAGAGTTTGTATTGTTTTTCAGCAGATCACTAGCAAATGAGGAGAAACTAGGACGTTTAGTCAGGCACACTTGGGTTTATGAATTTTTGACAGGAGAAAAAAAAATTATGAAAAATTAGTTGCTGACTGGGCAAGAGAAAATCTGTTATATTGCCTTCCAGCAGATACTATGAATACTATTTATCTCCATCTCCATACGCTTCTAGCTTACACCTGTTCTAATCGTAGCAGCACCTATTTAATTATCTGATATGAGGTACTTTTATGTTAACCTTAAGTTACCTTATAGGCAGCAACCCTGTAGTACAGATGGCAACACTGTATAGTCAGATGTGAAATAAGCATTGCTTAATTCCACATGTAAAATGGCTCTTTGAAGTTGTTTGTTTTTTTTCTCCTTGGGGACACTTTCAGTTGCTTGTGTGTAGTAACATTGTAATAGTTCAGACTACAAGAGTTGTGGTTTTTTTCCAGCTACCTTTTTAAGTAACTTTGAGAGGCTGTTTTTCAATTTAGCTTATGTTGTGGTTTAACCCCAGCTGGCAACTAAGCCCCACACAGCCGCTCGCTCACTCCTCCCCTGCCCCGGTGGGATGGGGGAGAGAATCGGAAGGGCAAAAGTGAGAAGACTCGTGGGTTGAGATTAAGACAGTTTAACAGGTAAAGCAAAAGCTGCGCATGCAAGCAAAGCAAAACCAGGAATTCATTCGCTCCTTCCCATGGGCAGGCAGGTGTTCGGCCATCTCCAGGAAAGCGGGGCTCCCTCACGCGTAACGGTTACCAGGGAAGGCAAACGCCATCCCTCCGAACGTCCCCCCCTCCTTCTTCTTCCCCCAGCTTTATATGCTGAGCGTGGCGTCATATGGTGTGGGAGATGCCTCGGGCCAGCTGGGGTCAGCTGTCCCGGCCGTGTCCCCTCCCAGCTTCTTGTGCCCCCCCAGCCCGCTCGCTGGTGGGGTGGTGCGAGAGGCAGAGAAGGCCTCGACTCTGTGTGAGCACTGCTCAGCAGTAACGAAAACATCCCTGTGTTACCAATGCTGTTTCCAGCACCAGTCCAAAACACAGCCCCATACCAGCTACTAGGAAGAAAATTAACGCTATCCCAGCCAAAACCAGCACAGCTTAGGATGGGCAGGAGTAGCTTGATTCTTCCATATCTCCTACATAGAGATATGTAGGAGATATGTAGGGCTCTAGCTATTACTACTTAACAACGTTGTTTTAGAATGCTACAGTTTGGGTGTGTCTGCGCTGTCCAGCAAGTAGCACGTGAAGGTACTTTTCCAGTAGTAATTGCATTCTGTTTCATATGTAGTAGTCACTCTGACATAGCTGGCAGCGATGAGCTTATGTTCTGTTTTTGTCGTACTTTCTTGAGGGGGTCCCTGTGGGACAGGGGCTAACTTAAATTGAAGTCATAAAAGATTTTCTGAAAATTTGTACTATCTTTTATTTGTTTAAATTTTTCTGTGCTGAAGTGTAATGTACACTTTCTTTTCCAGAAAGAGTTATCTGGGCACAAGAACATTGTGAGCTATTTGGATTGCGCTGTTAACTCTGTAAGTGATAATGTTTGGGAGGTACTCATTCTCATGGAGTACTGTCGAGGTAAGAGACAACTCTTAGATTTTCAGAGTAAATGCAGGGAAAATGTTTGTATTGATCACCTGGGATTTTTACTTGGAATTGTTCTCGTAATATAAAAGGTTAGCAGATATATCTCACAGCTGGAATCCAATTAGTTCTTTTAGCTTTTCTGTTTGCGTTGTTGCTGTTGAGGCCCTGAGAAAATGTAAAAGTCAGTTTCACGTGGCTTTGTTATTAAGTATGATTAGAAACAGGGATATTATTTGTGTAAGTGTGAAGTGAAATTGTTCTGCTGTTTGTGCTAATCAACATTTAGCTAGAACATTATTAGATAGGAGAGATGGGCAAGCTTTTCGCTGCTGTTCTCCCTGTTACTTTTGTTTTAGATGAAAACATTAAAGACGTTTTACTCTGATCTGACAGTGACTTGTTTTAAATGAGCATAGCATAGTTAGTGTTGATAATGCTAGCCAAAAAGAATAATACTCGCACTTCATAATGTAATTTTGTTTCAAACAATATGTAAAAACAGGTAGTTCCTAGATTATTTTTTCCCCATCTCACATATACATTGGAATAAACTTGCCATTGAGTTTAACTTCTGAAGTTTATCTAAAATTTAGGGTAACTAGGCACTGATGTCATAATACGAGATGGTGCTTAACCCAAATAGCTGATGATATTAGAACAACTGCTACAAGTACAAAGCAAATATTTCTAGATTAGATAGAAAACCCACCCCATGGTCCGTAATGCTCGAAGAATACTTTCAGTTGAGATTTACATCGCTGTTATTTGCGGTAGAAGCAGCAAACGTTACAGCTTGTGCAATCTCTACCATAAGAAGCCAAAGACAGTCTTGATGTACATTTTGGGTAAGGGAATAAGGAGATAACTTCAAAACTAATGGCCACATTTTCGGCCCTCTACCCTGCTTGTATGGGTGAATTTCTGTACCCCTGTGGGAGCTCACTTCTGACTCCCTATTGGTAGCACTTCTTCCTTAATTATAATGGTAAATAGCCATGTGGATGTCAACTGTCAGATGACTTGACAGCGTTAGGCTCTTCTTTTTCAAAGCAGCCTTGTTTTGATGGAACGCTCACCAAGGCCTTGCAGATATTGAGTCTTGCTTCATCTGTTGGTGTTAAGTGAGCCTTGTGGTAGGAAGAGCCTAGTATGATCTGGCAAAATTACTTCAAGAAACAGGGAAATACTGATTCCCGATCTTAGAAGGAAACCTATGAAGAAGTTAAGTGACATCTTTATAGAAGAATGGATTCAGGGCTTTTTTTTTTAATTTGTCTCCCAGAAAGACAAAGAGAGAGTGTCTAGAATGTGAATTAAATTGAACTCGGTTGGCTGACAGGGTTTTGGCTGTGGATCTAAATGCAAGAGACACTTTTGAGGTAACATCTTTGTGTGATAGATGCTTTTTTGTGTTTGCGACAGTTTATCCCAAACGGGTTTCAGTCATAGGGACTTTTTTATTTTCATTTTGAGACAGAAATTTTTCTGTCTGGGATAATACAAGAGCGCACATTTGGAAAACCCGGTTTGTTTTATTTAAATTCAGTGACTGTGGAAACCTTTCTTGCATCTGTTCTGTGGACTTTTTGCATATCAATAAGTCTTTACTTCTGTACATGATAGTAATTAGTAAAAAAACCAAAACCAAACCGTGTCGTTTCTTTAGCTGGGCAAGTTGTGAATCAGATGAATCAGCGTCTGCAGACAGGCTTTACTGAGTCGGAAGTAATGAGAATATTTTGTGATACCTGTGAAGCTGTTGCCCGGTTGCATCAGTGCAAAACACCTATAGTTCACCGGGACCTAAAGGTATGAACTTAATGAAAAGGAACATCTAGGTTAAATTCAATGATCTACCTGAAAACAATTGAGAATATAGGAGGTATTTCACTGAGGCTGACTTACAGGTACAGAACCACTTGCTGTTGGTGGAGCTGTAAACAGAGGGACTAAAGCATAAGATACCATTTATTGCTAATGCCAGGTCTATCAGTTGATTTTTCTGATAACTTCCCTGTTTGTATGTTAGAACGCGTAGTAACAGTTAAATTGGAAATTAATGCTGTTATTTTCATCTAATGTTTCTGTGTGTTATTTCCTTTCGAGGTGGAGAATATATTGTTAAACGATAGAGGGAACTATGTTCTCTGTGATTTCGGCAGTGCCACTAACAAATACCTTAATCCTCAAAAAGATGGTGTTAATGTGGTTGAAGAAGAAATTAAAAAGTAAGTTCACTTTTAAGTGGCCTATCATAAGCGATGAGTGTGCTGCTAGGTAACTGCATGTATTATTGTGCAGTGTGCACCTATCTTCTTAATATGAATTGAAATGAATTGTTGAATTTGAACTAATGCTGATATATAGTCAAACAGTGGAATTATTTGGTAACAGATTTCTTCCATTTATTCACAGTTTGTTTTTGGAAAACAGACTCTTAAGAATAAAACTTGGAAAAAAGCATGCTGTTTTGAAATTAAGTTGTTGAAAAATATATGTCTGGCTACTGGCCATTTTAGGAGTTTGATATTTGAAATTTGTGCTTTTTTAATACAGCTAACGGTATGAGAGAAGAAAGAACTGATGTAAATAAGCATTGGAATGGATTTACATAGGTTTATAGAGTAAGGTCCATGTTCATTCTCCTGAGAGTGATCAGAAAAATATTTTAACTTTTACTACAGGTGCACTCCTGAAAACATGTATTAGTTTGGTTTTGCTCCTTCAGGCTAACTACTGCAGAGGAATAAATACAGGCTACTTGTTCTCAAGTTACAAAGGGATACAGTGCTTTTTTCCAGCTCTGAAAAATACTTTGACTACCAGTTTGGTAATTATTTTGAGATGTTAGTTTTTTGAAGTCTGCATTCCGTATGTTTCAATCCGTGATAGGGAATACTCTCGTAGGACTCTTACATGACGCATTTCAAATGACTGGTTATTGCACTATTTAAGCAAAGTGACTCTTGCAAAAGTACACGTGGTGGGGAAATAACATCAAAATCAAATTTTAGCTGATGTAATATTTGTTCTTGTGTATGATAATTTTATGTTACTAGTCCAAATATTCTCTGTGATGCTGGAAATGCAGTTCATGTCCTGCATTGCATAGGACAAATCCAGGCACATATCTGAAACTTGGGTGTGAACGGTGTGTGCCTGGCAGATGCAGGAAAACACGCTTTTAGTTCTGAGGCACACTTTTCATCTACGTCCTCTTTAAATTATATACTGCTAGGTATACAACACTATCATACAGAGCTCCCGAAATGATCAATCTTTATGGAGGAAAACCAATTACTACAAAGGCAGATATCTGGGTAAGCAAAAAATCGGGTACTACGAAATACGGAACTAATTAAGAGGTGTGGGAGGGAAGTTAAAAGCAGCATTGACTAACTGAAAAACAAATTCTTTGAAAGGGAAATAGATCATGCAGCTGTATAATGCAGAGTATAGTAAGAGGTATCTTTGGTATTTTTGTCTTCTGTAAATAATATGAATGCCATCTGTGATCATTTTGAGTTAAGGGGGACAGGATTTAGAGTTTTTTTCCTTTTCGTTGGCTCAGGTTGCTGCTTGATAGTCACCAGTGATTCCTCGTGGAAACCTGTTGGCAGCATGATAAGGAAAGGTGTTTTTACTAGGTGATGTGCTAAATTCAGCGGAAACGCTAGTAGTATCTCTGGGTGATATGGCCATGTGAATGAGCTCTTGCGGTATGCTCTAATTTCGGCAGTTCGTTGTCTAACATAGGAGTCAGTGGGAAAGAGAGCCTTTTCAGAGCTGCTTTATGTATCACCTTGTCACATCAACAGTGTGTTTCATAATGCAGCTTCTACATAACAGTGTAAGCATCAGCTGTAGCTAGGATGTAATTTTTTTCTCGTTGGCGCTGCTTTATGGTGCAAAAGGCTTACTCTCATCCCTTTACAGTGCCTGTATTTGTTTTTTACAGGCACTTGGCTGCTTGCTGTATAAACTTTGTTTCTTTTCGCTTCCCTTCGGAGAAAGTCAAGTTGCTATTTGTGATGGAAGCTTTACCATTCCGGACAATTCCCGATACTCTCATAATATACACTGTTTGATAAGTAAGTATCTGGATTCTTTTGCCTCGTAAATCAATTAAAACAGAGAAGATGCCGCTAACGTAGGCGAGAGACTTTGATGGGTGGTGCAGACTGGCTGGGTTCTTGAGTGAACAGTGGGAGTTGAAGTACAAACAAGTCTTTCTCCTGGACAGCTGATATTAAAATCAGCTACTGTATTCTGGGCACGTAACGGATGAGTTGATAACTTCGGAATTGAAACAGAATAAAACAGTGCAAAGACCTGCCAGATGAAATTGTACCTCTCAACTCAGAAGAGCTTTGTTGAACTTGAAAGAACTTTCTGGTTTCTTTGGGAGGCATGGATAAATTTTTTTTTTCCTTAGGTGGCCATAAACCACAAAGGGATAAGGGGAATGAAAAGAGTAGCTCTTAATTTATTCGTAGTTCTTTTTTCCTCTTAAGTGTGTGTTTTCTGCGGAATGTCAGACCATTAATAGTATTTTCTATCCAAGTTGGACAGTTGCGCTTAGAAGAATTTGAAGTGCAAGTTTAATGTAGAAATATAAATGTACTAAGATTAATTGCACCGGCAAGAATTTTATAGTCATTTCATGGTTTATAACAGAACAAAAATCTGATAAAGTTTGTGTAACCCAAAGTGCCAGACACAAACTCTGGCAGAAGTTTGAAAGCACAAAGAGTATCAAGGAAAACTTCGGACGACAACAAGTTCTGAGGCTAGTGATTAATCTGTTATGCAGGTACAGAGATACAGGATCTAATATTTACAGTAATAATGAGAGTTTCCAGTTGTCTTTGTTTTCAACTTTGAGCAGGTTAACTTGAAAGAGTGAAAAAATTCAGGAGGTTTGAACAGGAGCTCTTATAACTTACTTTTGAGTTATGAATGTGTTGACCACATAGTTATTCCTTTTATATAGTAGGAAATACCAAATCCAAACCACTTTTTTGAGCACACGTTTGTAATTGAGAAATAGCAGTTACCACGGTAAGCATTTACCTTCTGCAAATATTTAATAGCTGACAAAATGAGATTAATTTTAGGGTTATTAAATACTTTACTCTGTGTCAAAGTGCTACTTTTAGAAGAGTACAGGTTTTAATCCTGTCTCCTTGTAAGTATGAATGCTGATTTATTAAGATTCAATGAACTGCTGTGCCAAGATGAGCATTACTGGCATGGAATATATGTGGGTGGGGAAGAATCTCATAATGTAAACTTCCCTTCTTTACATTTGAATGGAAGCCAAAAAAAGCTGCAGTTGGTCATAAAAGGTATTTCAGGGACTTCTGGCTTCACCTCAGCTCTTGTACAAGGCGGGGGGCGCGAAGCACCGAGCTTAACATTCTCCGCCTCATAAATCTAATATGTCAGAATCAAGTGACAGGAGTCACTTAATGATAAGTGTTCTGTTTCCACTCAATGGTGCTGTCACTGCAAGTTTAAATATGCTTTATTTTGTAAAACCCATTAAAAATAGAACTTGCGGTGAACTATATTGGCCGTGAAATAATGGCTTTGAGTAAAATTGTAAGATCTGTCTGAAATTATATTAATTAAAAAAACACCCTACTTCAAGACTTCTTACAAAATCTTGTTTAAGGTTGGCTGTACGACTGAACGCTTTTGGAAATGTAGCTCAATTTTCTCATCAAAACTGGGAACTTAAATTTTCTTAGGTGGTTCATTTCGTTGTAGCTGAAAACGTTTTTAGAGGCTTAGCTTGTTTAGAAAAGACCTTTCAGTGTTTATTTGGGTTCTGTGGTCATTTAGGCAAGGTTTTGTGACCATGTACTCTGTATCGTATTGTAAACAATATAAAGTAACTCCTATTTGCTTACAAAACACCAAACCTTCTAATTTGGGAAGCTAATGTTTGAGAGGGACGTCAGAAATTCTGTGTCTTGTCAGGAAACAGTCCTTTTATCCATGGAACTATTTATGTATTTTTTTTAATATACAAAAGTGTGCATAGCCAACTAAACCTGCAAGACTAAAGTAGAACCTTAGGCTGATGCAGTTAGGTATATCTGTGAATCTTCTGTTAGCTACATTGACTTTTGTATTAATCCTAGAAAATTCTAGTACAATGAGTTGGTTTTATGTGGCTTCTCTGTGAAGTTATCAATTACTACTTCAGTTTAGCTACCCTTTCCACAACTGAGTGTCAAAATATCAAACAGCATACATCTTCTCCAATTGTATTTGACCCTAGAAAATATTTGGCTTGACAAAAAGTATTTTTAAAAAATCCCAAAACCCAACATAACAATAAAAATTACTCTTTCTGGGATAAGTTCATTGGGCGGAGCTGCTGCATTTCTTCTTGCTGGTAGCGTGCTGTGTCAACAGGCTTTTTGATATCCAACCGTGATAATTTGGTCTTACCAATTTTTTGCAGGATATATGCTTGAACCAGATCAAGAACAGAGACCTGATATCTTTCAAGTATCTTACTTTGCCTTTAAACTTGCCAAAAAGGATTGTCCAGTGTCTAATATTAATGTAAGTGGTATTTAATTTTTTCTGTATTTTTAGTGTGTTTTGTAGGTAGCATTGACAAAAGTCTATCAAATCAGCTGAGAAAGATTATTTGAGTTTCTTCATAAACCTTGTTCCTAAATTTAAAACGTACAGCGGAGTACACTTCAAGCTGCTATTGCATACATGCAATATTAGCTCTCTAAACTAAATATTTTTTCATTTTGAGGGCATAGCTTCATGAATTATATTGATATCGGACCAATACCTGACTGACAGAATCACAGAATAGTTTGGGTTGGAAGGGACCTCTAAAGGTCATCTAGTCCAACCCCCCTGCCGCGGGCAGGGACATCTTCACCTAGATCAGGTTGCTCAGAGCCCCGTCCACCCTGTCCTTGAATGTTTCCAGGGGATGGGGCACCCACCACCTCTCTGGGCAACCTGGGCCAGTGCTTCACCACCGTCAGCGTAAAAAATTTATTCCTTAAATCGAGTCTAAATCTACCCCCCTTTAGTTTAAAGCCATTCCCCCTTGTCCTGTCGCAACAGGCCCTGCTGAAAAGTTTGCTGCCATCTTTTTTTATGTTTTCAACCGTTACTAATCTCTTGGGTCTAATACAATTAATAAGAAATATACTATAGAATTTAAACTTGTTGACAATAGAAGGTTTAATGTTATAACTGTAGTGTCAAGAGCACGTATGTTTGTTCTGGATAAAGCCTTTTTCGTAATCATCCTTAGCAATTATGTTAATCCATTGGAAGGACTACAGTGAATTGGAAGGCAAACAGAATAGTGCCTTGGTTAGCCTGCATTCCTACCCTTATTTTTCATGAGCTTGAACTTTTGAAGTCTGAACTTTCTCTCAAAGGTCATATCATTCACAGATTTAACTACTGTGCAATGGAATTTGAGGGCACATCAATAATGTTCACTATTGTGAAGTGATTGTCAAGGTAGGCATCAGGAAAAATCCATCTCAAAATTCATTTTGGAACAAATGTCAGTTATGGTAAACTCTGCCTTCAGAGGCGGACGAGTGAACTTACTGAGATCCCTTTGAATTCTTTTATCATTGATCCTTGTAGAAGAAGGTGCTCAGTAAATGTGAGTTGTTGCTTTTTGGGAAGTCAGGTTAAAAAAATCAGAAAACCTTGAAGTACTTAGCGTTTATAGGTAAAGGCTAAATTTCAAGTGGTTTGAATGGATTTGCATTATGCTGTTGCAGCGTGTGAATAGGAGGTGCAATAACTGTCCTTTCCCTCCAATACTTTACCCTGAAATTTGAGCGTATCTTGACATAACGTAATTTGGGAATTTACTATGTTACTCATTGGAGAAGTAGTATGGCCTCACACAGGTGACTTGAGAATATGTCTGTTTCTTGGATTTTTTTTTTTTCCCCCCTGCTGATAGGAATTGCCTGCTTACTTGGGCCTTTGCCTTGTGACAGACATAGAAAAGTAAAAGTGCCTGGAGTATTCTTACAAAGTGAAGCTGTTTGGTGTGTGTCTTTTTTCCACTGGAGCGTTAAAACAGCAGTACGAGCAGCAGTCTATGCCCCGGTTTCTGTTGCCGTTGATGTCTTCTGGTAGTGCTTGCCCCTCTAGCACCCACGGCTGCCGTAAAAGAGAATCGGCACAAAAATGTGCACGTGGATACCCCTGACCCTCCCACTCGAAGTTTTGTGACAATATAACAATGACCATTATAGGTTAGAAGAGAGGCTGGCTGAGTGCAGTATACTGCCTTCGACAGCAGCTTATTTTTTCAAGGGAAAGTTGGAAGTTGGTCTGTCTGTGTCTTTCCTAGACTCTTGACTAATTCCAGTACTGATGGTAGTCTTCAGAAGTGGTATTTGATAATTAACTGTCTGTACTATTTGTGACCAGATTTAGATTTGTGTTATTTATGTAAGGAGGTAGTGCATGCGTAATTAGAGATCATCTTCCTCCTTCCTCCCCCAAAATTGCCATTTTCTTTGGTTAAATGTGGTTTAGGTCAAATGTAATTCATTCAGGAATTTGATTGAGATGGGGATAAGTTAAAGGACCGTAGAAGCTTAGATGCTGCATGGTTTTCTGGAATTTGTGTTGCGGTGGAAGAGCTGAGTGGGCTAAAAAATGACTGTTGTTTCATCTGAAGGTTAGGCTTTGTTTTAGTTCTTAAACTTGAGGCTAAAATAAGTCTCTGTTCTGTGCAGTTACAAGAAAACACTTGGAGAAAATATTTCATTTTGTTGATAGTTAGTAGTGCGTAAATTAAGTAAAGTAGTTGACAAAACAGTCAGACCAGTAATGTTTTTGTTTTACTGTTGCAATGGGTAAGAGAAAGTAGAGATACTGTTAAACTAAAACACTTCTCATCTACAGCTGTGTGAGTTCTGCATGAAGCCTTGTAACATGAAAAACTTGAACCCGAGTATTCCTCTTGAATATGTAATGATTTTTTTCTTTCAGGATTTTGTTTTCTTAATTTATTCAAATTTATTTTTCCCAAGAATTCTCCTGTCCCTTCAACTCTGCCTGAACCCATGACAGCTAGCGAGGCAGCTGCTAGAAAAAGCCAAATAAAAGCAAGGTGAGCAGTGGATGTGGCTTTACTTTTTCTGTGCTAATATTGTTAAGCTACATACTTGTCTGAAACCTGTTTTCATATGCTTGTTAATAAATGAAAAATTATCTTAGTAGCAGGGGTCATTAGAATAGATAAACTGCAATTCTAAGAGCTTCAAGTCTCTCTTTGGATTCCACTCCATTGCTTTTTTTCATTGTATTGAGAATCCATGGAGAGAAACTGAGAGGCTGTTACGCGGTGGAATAAGTAAGTGCTAGCAGTCTTTCTGATGTGCTTCATTTTCTCCTAGTGCCGTGAGTGAATTTTCAAATAAAAGATTTTAGTGGCAGGTGAGGATAATATGGTACAGGTTAACTGTACTTAAGAGTTTTATTTAAATGTGCAAATCAAATCTGACTGAAGGTAAGTGGATTTTGATATTTCAAAAATTCCTATTTTTATACCAAAACATTCCTTTTTTTGTACTTGTTAATAAAAACAAAACCTCGGGAATTCTTATTCATGCTTTTTACTTCTGCCATGGTATATGGTGTATGCTTAATGCTAAAGCTGGAAGAATCGTTTACACTTGTATTCCTTGTTAATGCGAGTTGGTTGTGTATGGAATCTACCAACATGTGTGACTTAGGTACTTTCATATTCAGCTATAATTATCGGCTGTATTTCAACTCTGACTTCATTAGCCTGTTGTGAATGAGAAGCAAATGAATGGGCTCATCTAGGCCCTGTTTGAGCTGTGTAGATGTGTCTGTGCCATTTTAAGGTAATACGGTCTGACCGTGGTTGGTTTTGCTGGCTCTGCTGTCAGTTGGTAACATGCAGTGGAGGGCAGGCATAGAGTATCTATGGAATAATGTTTTCAACTCCAACTAAGTCTGCTAGGCAACAATACAAAGATTCATAGTTCTTCCTAAAGAGTGTTTTCCTGATGGCCCTCAGTTACAGCAGGTTAAGGCAGATGGTGTCTTAATATAACATGGTAGGAGCTAACGTGAGGTGTTAGGTACTGGAGCTCAGATGGTGACTTAGTGTTTTTAAGCAATTGGACAGTTTGAAAAAAAAAAATGCGTATACTACAACCCAGTAATGGGATTAAAGTTCAAAAGTACTTTGGTTTTGAACATCTTTATTACCCTGGCAGACTATTATACGGCTCTGAAGTACTTCACGGAACACGCAAATATTTTGAGCAGTTTATGGGTGTGATAACTGCTAGAGGCTAAACCTCTAACAGAAAGTAGAAATGAGTTGACTTAACAGATAAGATTTTTCTTAATCTTATTTCCTGTATGTATGAACAGTAATCATGTCTCTAGTCTCATAGGATTGCTGACTCAGGTGCTGCAGTCAGTAGTAACTTTCACTCGTTACTGTCAACTGAGGACAGCTTACGCAGAGAAATTTCATCTTGTGTCACGGTCTCTTTGGGAATAAGGCTGCTGCATAGCTCCTTCTTAATGGTGTTCTGCAGCAGTCATATGTCCTATGGCTGCAATGGATGGTGAGTGGAATTTTAGGAAGCAAATTTTAGGGTATTAAAATCCAATTCAGAAGTAGAGCACCACATGGTTAAGACATAATTGAGCTATTAAGAGATACACCGTGTCTAATTTGAAGAAGAAACAGTCTTTTTTATCAAGTCTCTTCTGTGGGAAAACTTGCCATTTCAGAATAACAGATACTGTTGGACCAACAGAAACATCAATTGCACCGCGACAAAGACCAAAGGCCAATTCAAGCACTGCTGCTTCTAGTGTGCTGACGATCCAGAGCTCAGCAACTCCAGTTAAAGTGCAAGTTCCTGGTGAATTTGGTAATCGTGGGCAAAAAGGTAACTTAAAGTCTAAGGATGGACCAAAATAAATGAAGAATCAATTTCATATTTCTCTTCATTCTTGCTCTAGTAGGGATAACATTTAAAACTCAAATTCATCTGCTTTTTTATATGCCAAAACCCAAATTTTCATCTTTCCTGAAAGACTCTAAATGTGCAAGTAATAAGTTTGACCAGGTGCCGCAAAAACTAAATGCAAATTGTTGAGAAGTGAAGGTTTTTTTTTCTTTGTGCTTAGCACTGATTTTGAACTAACTTCCCCACTGCAGACTGTGAGAGAAGTTCATGCTCGGTTTTGACTTTCAAATAATTCACGAAAAGTACTGAGCTCTTCTGTAACAAGCTGCTTTCATTGTAGTAGCAAAAATATTTTCCCTGTGCCTCGGTAAGTCATGAGATAGCAACAATACGTTGGTATTATTTGTAGGCTGGAATCATCTAAAAACTTCACTTGGCCAATGATTGACCAATGGGGGGCAACGGAGGAGTAATTGAGGGAGGCTCAATCGTGTGAAATGGGTTTTCAATAAATCCTTTGAGTTTTCCTTTATCTCATTCAAAGAGAGTTATGGGTCTGATAAGTATTCATTTAAATAGTTTTCATTTATATCTTGACTACTTTCCTAGTTGCACTTTGTGATGTTACGTGTCTATTACAGTACAGGAAGAGTAGCTTTAGTGGTCATATTGGGTAAGCCTCCAATCAAAAGGCCACTGAGAATGTTTGTGTCCCAGGTGTGAACAACTTTGGCTAGACAGGATCCAAATAACATCCAACTTGGAAAGCTTTTCCTGTTACGACAATGAAACAGATCATGTCTGGGCACTTCAGAAAATAAATACAGCATGCAAGAGAGATTGGTTTATGTTAGTAACTGTTTACTTAAAAGGCTGTAAAAACAATTGAATGGCAAAATTAATCAGGTGTTCTGTTTAAGGGAATTTGACAAGTGAGCCAATAGTTCCCCTAAAAATTGTACGTGTTGTATGCATACAAACCTGCGTGCTTTGAGGGTTAGGGTTTGAGCTACTAGAAGTTACAACTTCTATGTTAGTAGAGCAGAAGTCTTGAAGCCAGCTTCCTCTGTTGTAAGATGAAACGAAGCTTCCTGCATCTCCGAAGTAGAAATCCTGCATTGTCAGGCCTAGAAGTATTTTTGGAGAAGTGAAGTTTACTTTCTACCAGCTGTACTAGTTGTCAAACTGGGAAGGGAAGTTTATAAACTGTTTCACCCTGAAGTGTTAAATAAAGAGAATAATTGCCAGGGAGCTTTCTAGCTAAACTTTAGAGATGGTTATGTCAACAGCGTTGTCTGAATTACCACAGGAACCACGCGACCAGGGAATGGACAAGAAATCTTACAGTCCCAAGGGACCAACCAGCACCCCCCGCAGCAGAACAGAGTTCTCCAACAGCTGCAGCAGGGGGACTGGAGACTACAGCAGCTACACCGTTTACATCGCCACCAGCAGCAACCTACGATTCAGGATGCTTACATTCAGCAGGTACGAGTCAAATCTGTTAGACAAATTTCTAAGAGACACTTTATGCTTGTTAATAACACTTTGAATCACGTGCTAGTTAAACATTTCTGCTGTTGTGGCCTGGCTTTTTCCTGCTAGGAGAGAGAAAGGGATCATGGCTCCTGCCCCTTCTTTTTACTTTTGATTTGTCTCTTCATAGGCTCTGTAATGCTTATCCTAGCGAGTTGCTTGTCCTGTTTTTGCAGTTTGATCCTGAATCCCAGCTTGCTTTGAATCATCACCGTGTGGCCCAAATAAAGGTTTTGTGTATGTGTAAACATGCTTGAGATAAATGTTATGAGTTATCTAGGTGACCATGCTATGCTTGCAGTAGATGGATGTATATACACCATCTGAGTAGGATTTTTGCAGGTTTTGCTTTCTTAAGTTTTTCTTGATCAGTGGAGAGCTTCCTTTTTGTAGTCGTCGTGTCCACCCAGATTTTTCATGGATACCGCATATTCTAACGCTGTCCGGCTTCCATACTGTCAAGTATAATTGCTTAAGTCGCGTAGCATAAATAACTGTAAACGTAACAGAAGAGTGGCTAGGTCAGACAAGAACTTTCAGATCCTGTCCGAGACACCTACTGCTATTCCTCTTTTTCCCCACGTTGAGACATACGATTCTTTAAAGCACAGCTGAATTATTTTCCAAAGGGGCTCAGCACTGGAGAAAATAGCAAAAGTCGGGGTGTTGATTGGCGTGCCTTAGGAAAGGCAGTGCTGAAGATACAGTCTAATTTTCTGTTAAACAGGCTAGTACTAATTGGGGGGGGGGAGGGGGGGGAAAGAAAAGCTACCAAACACAGTCATTAAAATGCACTGACTGAATTGCAAGCTGATTCTTGGTTATGTGGTGTCTTAACTGAAAAACATTATTCAGTCACAGAAGTGATATTTTAATTGATGCTTCTTAAAAATATCTGGATATTCCTAAAGGGGGGATCATGACTTCCTAAAGCTATTTTCTTCTTTTCAACTATAGTATCAACAAGCAATGCACCAGCAGATGGTCCAACAGCAGCTGTTGATGCAGTCTGTGTACCAGCAGCAACCTTCTCAATCTCAGTATCCTGCTATGGTATGTCAAGAATGGAATGTAGATGGTACAATCTTAAAATACATGCTGTGTTTCTAAGTCTGTTGTGAAGATGCAGTAAGAGAAGTTTGTGAGCAGTTGTAATGAGCTGTGGATGTGGTAAATAGCGTGAAGTTCAGCATCTAAAATGATGTTCAGTTGGGGGAAAAAAAAAAAACCGCGAACTTGGTTGCAAAAGCTTACCTGGAGTTGCACTGCTGTATTAATTGGATGGGATATATCCTAAACTTCATTAAGTAAGTATATACTAATTTGAAACATAATTGGTGCTTAAGGTTTCCAGTAGTGACCACAGCAACGAACGTATGTTATGCTACAAAGCGATAGAAGACACAGTGGCATTAAATTTCTACTTCAAAAACAAGAAAGCTAACTGACGTAATCTGTTTTTCAAAAGTCAGGAGAAATTGTCTTTTGATTATTAATATTTAAGAATAGGGTATGATGAAAAGTAACTTCTTAGTGCTGCAGTAGCATATACTTAGGCTGCAATAATTACAAAAAGCTAAGTGTTAAAATGTCGGAAGAGAAACACGCTATCACTGACCTGTTAGGGCAGTTTCTTTTCACCTGTGTAATGGACAGGTCTGCCTTCTTGCTTCTGCTGAAGCTACCAAGTCTTTTCTGGAGCGTGGTGGTGGTTAGTGCATTTGGCTGCAAGGCTGGTGTTGTTACTTAACGGAAGAGATTCACACTGACGTATGTGAATTTTACTAACGTGATCATTATCTTACTTAGGTGCAGCAGTATCAGCAGGCTCTCCTACAGCAGCAGATGCTTGCTCAGCAGCAACAGCAGTCGCAACAGGCGCAGTCCCCTGAATGTATCATTTCTCCACAAGACTTCTCACCAGCCCTAATTTCCTACTCTGGGTCACTTCCAGTGCATGCTGGAACAGTGGCAGATTCTCTCTACCCTGCAAGCAGGCAAGTATTCTGACACAGATGTACGTAGGGGTTACTTATTGCTTACATTCCTAATTGCGATGAGCGCTGCTGAATCCTTTCCTCAGGAATTACTTGCTTCAATAGTAAGGTATTACTTAAAGCAGTTGGATGGCTGCTGTTTAGTGGTCAAGGATATTTTGGGAGGAGGGTGGGACACTTGTTAACAGATGAGCCTGGTACAACTTCTTAAAGAACCTGTCTTCCACTTTCGCTTGTTCGTGGACTTATGCCAGAAACTGACTGCTGACCACTTTGCTTAGGATGGTCAGTAGCCTATGCTGAATGAGGTTAAGGGCGTCTGAAAGTCACCTCGAACACTCTTTTAAGAGGGGCTTTATAGTTGGCATTTATTTGCTGGGGCTTCTAACAGTTGTGTCTATTGATCAGTGGTCTGACTTAAGTATGTTACACGATGGAGTACAGCTCATCACAGATATGGTCCCTTTGCAGGGGCCTGCAGACTTACCTTGCTTAGTAAAGTATAATAAATAAATAATGACTTTCCCGTGAATTCTTATGAAAAACAGTGTGTGGAATAAAACACCCTTCATTTTCTGATTTAAAAATAAAAAAAGCACAGATTTGTCAGCTTTCACTGATGCTATGAACTAGGTTGTATATTTATATAGGTTCCTACTATACTATATTGAAAGCGAAGTCCTTTGCACTTGGGGGAATGCTGCAGTCTTCGGAGAAGGCAGTCTTGACACAGGCTTTCAGTTAATAGTGTGACGTAAATGTTTCAGGTGCTGCTGTCATTCTTAGTCACTTCAAGGTTACAGTGTGTTGAAAGAGTAAAAGGCAAAACAATTTCCTGCTGTAGGCTGGATTGATAGAATATCATCTATCACGGTGACCAGTTTGGCTTCATCTTGCCAATTAGGTAGTCTAATCCCTAGCAGAGAGCATTGTCCTGCACTTCTGTGTCCGTGTCTGAGACTTACCAGCTGTACTTCGGTCAGGTCTATTGCCAGAGTACTCTTGTCACAAATAATTTCTGAAAGGAATCATTCCAGTCTGGAAGTAAATATGTATAGTTCCAGTTTCTCCCCTGTGTGTTTGGCTGAAGATTTTGATCCTGCTGTTGAGCTTAAAGTCAATGACTGCAGGTTAGCAGTGGTTTGCGATGCATAAGGTTGATCTTGTAAACAAAAAATATGACTTCTTGTATTCAAGGAAGGGGGGGTGATGAGTTTCTTTTCCCTTGACATACTAAGTGCATCGCGTTGTATGGCATGTTGTCCTTCTCTCAGTAGAAAGAGCCAGTAGTCTTGTGGGATGGCAGCACCCGAGCTGACAGGAAAGAGCCCCCTTCCCCTTTCTCTTGTCTTGAAGAGATGGTTCCATGTGGAGCTGGGCTGCAGGAGTGGCCTGCAGAGCCTGGCTAGGCATAGAGAGAGAGAAGCTGTTAGCATGCAGTAACTTGCTGATAGCTGCTTTTCTAGTCTGCTTCAGACAGAGAAGTGGTAGGCGTAATTTGCCATAAGGTGCACGAAAGGAAAAACGCATTTGGTCGAAGGTTTCCTTATCTGTGTAGATAACACTAATACAAGCAGAAGCTGTGATGTCAACTAGTTAAGTTAATTGTATCAGTTGGATGGATGTAGGATTCGAAGACACTTAACGTGTCTGCCAAGAAAAAATAATTTGTAAATAAGGAGAACCTATGAAAACTTCAAACGTATTTAGTAGGCTTTTTTTTTTTGGAGAAAAACAAGGCAGTCTCCTACGGCGATATAGAATTGACCACAGGTGAAATACAGCTTTTGCCCTTGCGTGTCACCTTGATGAAGGATTCTGTGCTTTGGCTACAATTAATGAATTGAAAAAGAAAAGTCCAAGGATCGCATACAGAAATGATGCGAACAAACCACGTATTTCAAGTGATCTGTTTTCCCTTAAATTAGCTTTCAGATGCTTTTGGGATAAGCTGTTAATGCATGTGTGTTACTTGTATGTAGTATTTCGGCATAATGAAGCATGTCGTAGATTTTCATCCTGCTAAACAGCCCGGTAATGTTTCTCTTGATTTGTTTCCATGAACTGACTTTACAGGTCAGGTATTCCTGATGCTGAAGCAATTGCCAGTTACCCAAAGCAGAGCATCAATAACCCACCTGATATGTCAGGCTGGAACCCATTTGGAGAGGACAATTTTTCCAAGTTGACAGAGGAGGAGCTGCTGGACAGAGAATTTGACCTGCTAAGATCAAGTAAGGGACGCTTGAAGGCTTATTTTGCTTCACAGTAAATAAGGGCTCTGTACTTGATCAGCAGTTCCAACACCTGTCTTGTGGAAGGGCCACGCGGTCTGTGTACAGAAAATTCTTTCTGAGCATTTGAGGGCAGAGTTGGGCCTGTCTTCTTTCTTTCCTTTCCCTTTCTGAAAATGTGTGCAATAGGAACTCGCTGTCTAATATCGGTAGTTACTGGCTCAAATACTACAGAAATGGTAATAACTTAGCTCTTAAATACTGCTTGTGTCACCTTGATTGTCAAGAAGCTCTGAACAGCAGAGGTATGTTGTCAGAAAGGAAGAAAAGTTTGGCTGCTTGCTTTCTTCCCTTGCAGCTTTTTTCTTGCACACCAGAGCAGAAGATTCTGTGGGTCTGATATGTCCTTTGAAAATGCCTGAAAGAAATTGATCTATTACATTATGTTAATGTTTTGTAATGTCCTTTTTGATGAGTGGCTACATGTAAGGGCTGCTTTATTGTTCTGATATGGCAATAGTTGAATAAACCTTTTCTCTTGAAGTCAGTTATCTTGATGGTTTTTACTTGGAATTACTTCCTTTTCTTAATTGCTTAACACATGCTCATTAGATGCTCTTCTTAAAACTGGTTTTGTCAAGATCAGATTTATTAGTGAGACTTGTAAGGTGTGAGAATGTCAAAAACCAGAATGTATATACTGGGCTGACTATTAGCAAGTTCCTTGCTAATAAAAATGCAGTAAAGTTGAATTTCAAGTAATTGAAAAAAAAACAACTATGCCTTCAGCTGAGTCTTTTTCTTCTTGGGTTTCTGTGTCCTTAAATGTAGCTGAACAAGATGCGCGCATTACCTGTTAATCCTTAAGGAAAGTGACTGGTTTTTTTTTTTTGTGAAACTCTAGTTGGTTGTTTTCACTTGTATCCTGTGTTGATCAAATAAGACTCCTATTTTTGAGATGTGGATGTAGCCTGCACACATTTTACAGTAAAATGACTTATTCCTGATAACGTACCAGCTGAAAAAAAAGTATCCTTTCTGAATCCAAGTTTAGAATTGGAATTTAATTAGCAGTGGAATTGAATATCTTTAGGCATGCTGCTTCCAAATGAAGCCTTAGAAGTCTTTTGAAATAACACACTCTTGAATGCGGAGAAGGTTAGCTTGAACCAAAAGGTCAGCATAACATTACCCATTTCTAGAATCTTTAACTGGCTGTTGGACTGCTGACTGTACTTGTGGTAAGTTTTATGAGAGTGATTTGGTTAAGCCACGTGTTTTGAACAAATGTAAGTACAGAAGAAGATACTAACCAAGGACGTATTTCAAGTGGCTTTACTTAAAAGCTGGAAAATGCTATACAAGAAATAGGCTTGCCTGGCGTAGCTCAGTAGGCTGGTTATAGTAAGCTGGGGAAATAGAAAATAATAGAATCGTGTAGCTTGGAAAAGACCCTTAAGATCACAGAGTCCAATGGTTAACCTGTTACTACCGAGTCCATCACTAAACCGTGTCCCTAAGTGCCACGTGTACAAGTCTTTTAAATACCTCTAGGGACGGTGAGTCCACCGCTTCCCTGGGCAGCCTGTTCCAGTGCTTGACAACGCTTGCGGTGAAAATGCTGAGTTGCATGCCAACAGTTAGATTTAGTAAAGGCTAGTATAACTTGGAGCTAAATGCCGCTAACTGCTGTCTCTAAATGTCCAGCAGAAAGAACAGTTTACTACTACTATAATTCCATTATCCAGTTTTTGTACTAGATGTGTGAAAACAGTCTGAAGTTTTTAAAGACTAAATCTACTTAGGCATGTTTTTGCTCATCTCTTAGTAAAGATAATTCAACGCACAGAAGAGCTGGATGTGATAATAAACTTCATATGCTGTATCAGAAAAGGAAACATAACAGCATCGTTTTGCTTGCATACTAATAACCATTATAAGCATTAGGGTTTTTTAGTCACTTGAATACAGAAAACATGAAAATAAAAATAAGAACATTATTTGCTTGAGCAGTAGTACGCTAGATGGCAGGCTTGTTTATATATAACATGAGATGCAGTTACAGCTTTTCTTAGGCCTTTTGGCTTGATTTCTGTTAGAGGTGCAGGGGAGGGGGAGCATTGCTAGTTTTAATCTCAGTGTATGTGTGTTTGTGTGTACACACAGATACATACAGCAAAGACTTCAAAGACCTTTTAAGTTTGTTTTTTGATATTAAGGATGTTGTGCCGAAGATCGTATGGACTTATTAATGCCTTTACTGTAGTCAAAGCAGAAATGTTTATACTTAATTTTGTCTACTGGTACTTCCTGAAACTTAGGTGTATTAATGAGAAATTGGGAGATTTATTGTACAATTAAGGCTTATACCTACAAAATTGTCTTTAACTGTATAATACTTCCTGGAATTTCCTCAGATGCATCCTAAGGATCAAGGCTTAATTCTCTTTAGATGTAGGTTATCTCTTAGGAGAGAACTGCTGTTTACTGCTAAGTAATTTTTTTTGCTCGGTTTTTGAGTTTACTGTGAATCATGTTGTCATCTAGAGGGAGGAGAACTGAAGGTACAGGTTTGATAAATTGTTATACCTTCTGTTAACTGAACCCGGTTGCTGTCCCGTACTTCATAACTCATGTACAGTGTTATGTAAGTTTGTCTTTCTGCCATGTTATGTGGTGCTGAGCAGCATTCAAAACATAAATCGTTTCTTTCCACTTTGCAAAAGCCTGGTTTGTACTGTTGAGCTGATGCTTTATACAGAAATTAAAAATATTTTTAAATCTGTCAAATGTTTTTAAAGCTGTTGTGTTAATGATAGTAATAGACGAGTAATTAAATATACACAGCCTTTGTTAGAGGATCAAGATGTCATAATTTGTCAGGCTAACATTACTGTTTGATTTCATCTGTTTAGTAGCTTAATGTCATAGTGCATGTAGGGATGGGTATTGCTGTGATGATTAATCACTTCCCCTTTAAAAAGGGAGCTAACTCATAGAACAGAATACCTTGCTAATGCTTTGTGCAAGTTGTCATATTAAAAAGATGACAGTTGCAGTGAAATGTAATGTGCAATTGAATGAAGACTTCTGAACTGAGCTGCTTTGCGGAGAACTGCGATAACGGAGTTACAGGCTGGAATTCCTGGTTCTTGTGCAAACTGTTGTTTCTCTGTTGTTGTTGTTGTTTTCATCGGTATTAATGATGGTCCAGAAGCAACACGTAATGCTGGGATTCTGACAACGCTGTGAAGAAAAGGATTTCTTAAAAGAGCTCCTGTAACCACTTAATAATCTGGGCAGAATTGGGAGCCAAGAAAATGGGTCGTCTTTCTCACCGGAAAAAAATACCAGCGCAGCCTTCACACTGAATTGCACAAAGGTTCTTGTTAGGCCCAGAATCATCTTGTTGCTTCAGCACAGACGCCTGTGGGTGCAAAGCCTACGAAGCTCTGTGCCCATCTCCTTTGCAGTGCGTACAGTATGAAGGTACTACCTAGACTATCTGTGCAGGAAAGAGCTGTGGTTCTTACCATGTTTTCCTTGTGCACGAGTGCTTCTCGTACTTTAGGAAGTCCTGAGAGAGCTGCCTCCTGAGGAATCTTGGGACTGTCACTTGAATGGAAACAGCTGGATTCCTTGTTTGTGGTTTTAAATAACGGCCCTTTTCTGTGGAAGGGTCCGCTGTGCCTTGTGGCACACGATCGTGTCTCTGGCAGCAGTCTGGGCTGCATTCGTATGATTCTTCACTGAGGGGAAAAAAAGCTTGGATGTTTATTTTAAGTAAGTTGCATTTGAAGCACAATAAAGTCTAATACTGACCGTCCCACTGAATCTACTTGTGCTTGTGTGAAGCTGGAGAAACCATTGCTGCCTCTTTTCTCTCAAACGCTCTCTGATAAAGAGAAGTGGATCTTGTTACGAGGTGGACAAATGACACTTGTGCCTCAGAAGATGCGAAAAATGGCTCATCCTTCTGCAATAGCCTTAGATCTGACGAACTGACAAATTTTAAACTTCATTTTACAGGGAAATGTATCCCAGTACGTATATGCCTAGGTGCCATGGAGGAGCTGAAATGTTGTATTTACTCACTTGACCTAATTTTTCTTGCATGGTTAGCATTTCAATCCATTTGTTTTTTTGCTAACCTTAGCCCTGCTGCTGAAGTTGGGACATCTGATCATCATCGGGGGGCTTCAGCTTGCATAGTCTTGCATGCCAGTGTTTGCAAGGACTCTCCAAAGGGTAGTTCAAGTTGTTGCACCCTTAAAAGTTACTCTAGAGTTTGGTTGCCTGCAAACTGTGCAGCGGTCAACTTGTTTTCCTCTGGAGGCAAGTCACTAGGGGTAATACAACAAAAGCATCCCTCACTCAATCTGCATTTGTAAAGATGCAAGTTGAAGGTCACATACCTTTCTTGTAAGACAAAACTCAAAAAAAACCCAAACAAAAAAAGCAAAACACCCTCCCACCCCCCAAAAAAAAGCCAAACACCAAACCAACCCAAAAGACAAAAAAAAACCTAAACCAAACACTTCCTCCCTGATGAAAGAAGGCAGTGTGGGTATAACTGTTCAGAATCAGGAGTAAGTCCTGCTGTGGAATGTGATGCTTGGTAGTTGTTTGTCTTTGTGCTCAAAGCCGATGGTACAAAACATACAGCTGCTAGTCTTGTGTGCATCTCGGCTAGTATTCTCTTCTGCATGGCTCTGTCACTGAAGGTTAATTTTGTTCAGGTCGGTTAGCCTCTGCCTATTTAAATATGTATATGTTGAGGTGAGAGCAACTACTTAATCTCCTGCAGTAGGAGCCCCCAGTTGGGATTATATTTTAAGTAGGGGTTGCCTGTAATGGAACAGCTCGCGCTTGTATTGCTTTGGAGAGTCTTAATGGTAGGTAAGAGTAACACAATTCGCATTACGGACACCTGAATATGAACAGGATGCTTGTCTGTGAAAACTGGCATGTAATTTCAAAACTCCTGGGCTTTGTACACAGGGTTAATATGCATCTGTCTGCAGTAGATTAGCTTGCTGTCTAGTCCCTGGTGGTTGTCTTAGTAAAGCCTCCTGGTTGCTGTATTGAAGGACTGAATAGAAGATGTGCAGGTAGCTTGATACGTAATTAGGGCACAGCTCAGCTGCATCTCCACAGTGGCAAATTGTCAAGAAGGTTGTGCTGCAAATTCTTTGGAAGAGCAGCTGCTTGCTGTGAAAAAGGGGGAAAGCAAAATGCTGCGTCTTCTGCATGGAGGATGTAGGATGTTAGCTGAAGGTGAAACACCTCGTCACAGTGGTATTGTCAAGTGGCTGATGGGCCTTGCTGGAGTCTCTTGAGTTGCGGTGTGGTGGTTGGGCTGGATGATCTGGGTCTTAAGTTGGCAGCGATGTTAGAACAAGAGCTTAAACAGAAAAACTTGTATTTACCATTCCTAGCGCTTTGAATTTTTGACTGTGTTAAAGATATTTCGTATGTCTCTTAACAAAAGAAAAAAAAAATTAAAAAAATCAGTCTCCCAAGGGTTGAAGACCATACAAAACAGACACTACGTTTCTTTATATTATATGACACAAATTGTTTTTGTTACTAATAGATGTTACGTGTTTCATAAAAAGTATTCCCAGCTATTTTGCTGTGATTGCCAACTTTTCTCTTTTTGTGGCAAAGACTGGCCAAAACTTGAATAAAATGAATGATTGGGTGTTTTAGATAAGCGTAGTGATTCTTGCTTCAAAACCTAAAGAGCACAGAGGACCAGTAGTTACTATTACAGAGCGCATAGGCTGCACATAACATGTTTGAGATCCTCGTTTAAAGCACTCCATCACCAAATGTATGCTGCTTTTGGTGAGACAGGGAATAACAATTAGGTTCTTGCAGGTGAATTTTCCCGAAAAATCAAGAAGTACGAATTGAAGATGTAGAATATCTTTAAAACATGAAAAAACACCTAATTGAGACCATATTCCTTCCTCACCCCGTACAGTAGATAGCTTTGCGTAGGCATAAGACTTGCCATTTTTATTTTATTTTATTTTTTGTTCTGTTTCATTTTGTTTTTTACAGACAGGCTGGTGGACAGGAGAACATCTTCAGATAAGAATGTGGAGCTGCTTTCTGCTCCACAGAAAAATCCTCCTGAAGATCCCTTTGGTTCTGTTCCTTTCATTTCTCTCCCAGGCAAGTTAAATCTGTAACATCACTACCTCATATATATGTATACCTATGTACATATATATATATATGTATATTACTGTTGGACTATGTACCTCCAGTTAAATGACCGAAGAATGATAAAGGTGTCGGCTGCCTCATGACAGTAGATGGGTTGAAGAGATATTTTGAGTATGTTGATTATCTCCAATTAAAAAATACTTCTGCATCCAATTCCTGTTACTTGTACAGTGTACAGACTACGTAGTCTTTGCAGTGCAATCACATTGGACCAGTGCAGTGTGAATCACTTGCGTAGAACCAGAAGTGATTCTGCTAAAGGCAAATTACTTGCTAAGACCAAATTTTACTACTTCCCTGTAGTCGGCTTCCAACTCGTGCTGTTGCCTTAGTTCAGCTCTCCAGCCAAGTTAAGATTGTAAGCTTCTGCTGCATTTAATGCATAGTTCCGGTACAAATTGAGTCAAAAAGAACAAAATATATTATGTTACCTATACATTTGGAGGGGAGGGGGGCTTCAGTGTTGTGTTTCAGTTCAGCTTTGGCTATTCTTACCTTGGGTGGAAGTAAAAATAACGTTGTATGCCAACATTGACTTGTGAATGTGAAACTGCATCATCCTGCAACTTAATCGTCAGTTTCAACATTTGCTTGATCAGCACTTTAATAACTTTTTTTGGTACCTGTGGCGAACTAAAGCCTACGTGACAGTTAAACGGTAAAAAGAGCTTCAATTACTTATGGAGCCACTTAGGCACCCGCCTAAATTTTTTGTTGAGAGTGCTTGTGTGATAAAGGTGCCTTAATAGGACTTCTAAACTATTCTTACAGAAGTTCAAAAGCTCAGGTAACATGCCTTAAAATAAATCACTTGGGGTCAACCTAAGTTAGCATCCATATTTCCCTTCGCTTTCATCTTGTATTCCCGAAGATGGTCTACTAGGACTGCTTAGTGCTCACAAGTGCTCTTGTACTATATGTAGTGAAGAGTGAACAGGATAGTGCAAGACAATTTGTAAAATACCTCTGCACCATATCTTGCCCTGTTGTTAGAAAGACTTGAAGTAATTCTGCTTGGCTTACTACTGTGTTACCCATTTCTCTTTGTTCTGCTCGTTCAGAAAGGACAAGCTTACTTTCTGTCGTCCTGTTAATATGCAGTAGTTCAATACAATGTGAAAGCAATTCTTAAGTGAAGAAATATTTGCTCTGTAAGTGCACTCTGTAGGTGGCAGTTGGGAAGGATTTGCCTTATGAGTCTTCATTGAAGAGGTTGCTTTGTTTTATAGGTGAGCCTAAATTCACATGCAAAATGCACAGTAATAGTTATACTTAATCTGACATGGTGACTATCGGGTGCTTAGTCTCCTGTTTTGAGTATTTATACCCTTGTGTCTAGGGATTATTTTTTTTTCTTTTCTCACCTTAGGTCTTAAAAATGTATTTGCTCACTGCTGTTTCTCAGATAGTTATAACGTATTTTAGATTGTAATGAGTGGGCTCGCTGTATTATGTCATATGTTATATTTTTGTTACTTAGAATCCAAGCTTTAATTCTTGACATGCTAAAAAACCATGGGAGATGCCTTCTTTCAAGGGGGGGGGGGAGTTCAGTCATGGCTGAAAAGCCAGACTGCTTCAGAAATGTTGGGTTGGTTGTGAACTGTTGCCTGTTTCACTGGAAAAAAAATTGTATGTTTTTCAAGTCTTTTCTACTGACTCATAACTTGAATTTAAACAAGTGTACATACTGGCTTGATTTCAAGGAAGATATTTTTAATTCTGTGTTAACAGTGAATTACACTTAGCAAACAAATCTGATATGATAAATCTTTAAATGTGAAGATAAGTCTTTTAAAAGCTGGTTTGTTTTCCTCAGGGACTTGTTCTTTGAAGTGTCTTGAAATGAGGTGTTGTCAGACAACTAAGAAAAGGAGAATGGTATTGACTTAGACATATTTTATTTCTAGTTGAGGGCTTTCTAGAACAAACTTGACAAATGTCCCTAATATTTCAATTTCCTCTTGTACTTAACATTTCTGTATAATACGTTCTTTCTGGTTTGTTCCGTGTGATTGTAAAAGATTTAACCGAGAAGTAAACCACATGTGTACCTTACTCAGGGCATCAAAGGGAAGATGACGGAATAGAAAGTGGAACAGAGGTTTAATACCTTGAGTGCAATTCCAGCGTTTGGGTGAGAGACTGTCTTTAATTAGAGCAGAAGTTTCACTTCCTTATTGTAACATGTATTTGCACTGTAGACGGTGTTATCACAATTCACCCAGGTTTCTGACTATTGAATTTAGACTTCTTGAATTACGGGATGAAATGTTGATGTTACCAATACAGACTATATAAAATAAAAAAGAAAATTTTACTTTCTTGCAAAGTGGCGGTTCCTATTGAAGCTGTGTCCTACTGTATTAACAACCTTTTTTAGCTGGAACTGTGGTCTTTATTTGCTTTGTTTTTTTTACTGTGTGACATAGGTCTCAGGTTCGTAAATGTTGTTGTATGTGGACTGTAGCTGCGTAGAGTCCCCCACCATATTTATTTTGTTTCAGAGGCTAAAGGGTTCTTTGCTGAAAGCAGCACTTGACTAAATGAGTAACTAATTTCTATCATCTGATATGAGATAGCAGCAAGAAGCTGAAGATCATGTATCATCTTTTGACTTAACAACTTAACATAAGGTGCTGCTAGTCCAGCAAAATAAGTGCTATCAGGTACATTTACATGTGTCCAGGAAGGTGGTGCAAGGGCAAGGGAGATGCAGAGGCCGAAATGTGAAATCTTCTGTTATCGCTGGAAAGGACCGTGGGTTGCTGAGAGTTGTGAGCCCTTGGAATTTTCCCTGTGGAGCTGAGTGCATTTCAGGCCACTGCTGCGGCAAGGATCACCAGGAAGGAGAACCTGGAACTGGATGGACTAAGGCTGCTCATCTGACAGAGCTTCTGTGCTTATTCTTCTCAGGTGGGAATGGAGAGCCAGCGACATGTATGTCACCTGACATGCTATGCAGAGGGCAAATAGCTGTGTGAAATTGAACTAACATATTATTGGGTTCATCTTATTATAGTTGATAGGAAAACAGTGTAGAAGCACTTAGTGTTACTCACACTTGGTGTATATCCTATTAAAAGTGTTTTCACAGGTACTACGTGTAAACTTGGTATACATGCTATTTTATGCCTAAATGTTTGTGGAAACTAGTAATGGCTTAGAACTTGAGATGGCTGGAAAAGCAAATTGGCTTGAGAAAGAATTCCAATGCTCAATCTGATAGAAACAAAACTAACATTGCCAACTTTTTATGAAAAGAGAGAAGAAAGCACAGTCGCTAAGCCAGTAATGGGGCATTTAGGACAGGCACCTAACATGTGGAAAACAGATTCCGGTTCTTGAAGGCCTGAAACACTGGATGGTGGCAGTGGAAAAATTGGCTCCTGCGGTCAGCATTTTGGAATGGAAGCTTGTGATTCAAGTGTGTATTAATCAGCTTGTATTGTAACATCCTTTGTTAACATCAAGTCGAGTGTTTCAGAAACTCAGAAGAGACACATTTTCTGCTATTTTCAAATTATAAGAAGGAAATGTCATGAATATAGTACAGTTTGCTGCGGAGTTGTACTCGGCGGCCTTTTGCCATCTTACGTTTGTTTACACTAATTCTTTCTGGGATAGAAGTGCGCTAGATTGCCTTTTGCTTCCCTCAGCTTAATACTGGAATTCAGAGAAGTAATAGAAGATTGGAGGTAACTCTCAAAATTATACAGATGGACTGTGTGAGAAGTGGAGATGTTGGGAAACCTTGACTGGAATTTCTTCGCAAGTGCTGACCTGAAGCTGTCTGCTAGGTGTTTTGTTCCTGTGGACAACCTCAGTGAGCTGTCTTCGGGCTTTTGTCGTATTGGGATAAGGCTTTAGTTCAGGTCATCTATTTAACTGTTCTACTGAATGTTTGTAAAGCTCATCTTCTGTACTGTAGACATGGCACTCCTTGATCAAGTCACTGTTGTTTCTTCTGACGTACCTAGGTAACCCCTTCCCAGTCACCGCATGCATGTTCACTGTGCGGAGATGGGGAATAAAAGCAACTTTGCTTCTGTAGCGGCTTCCCTTTGACTTCCAGACTTGCTGCACTCGAAGGCTTGGTAGTGTCTTTAAATGACGGTTATGGGTCTTGGAGTAAGAGCGCTTCTGTGGTGTGTAGCTTGCTAGTCACAGCTGTGTGGATCTGGCAGAAAACCAGCCAGCTGTGTGCCAGATAGCAGCACAATGGAAATCATCTGCAGAGTTGGACACAATACGTCCCTGAAAGGACTCTGCTGCAATAGCTGATTATTAGCATTCACTGTGTTACAGCAGAGAAGTGCGTTCTTCTGGCATGAAGAAATGTGCGTGACAACTATTCATTTGGTTACTGTAAGTAACTGCAAGTTTCTGTATCGTGGCCTTGGAGCCCTTGGACTACTGTGCAGTCTGGAGCTTTAAATGAAACAACTCGCTGTAATTCAACAAGAAATTACAAACATGAGAACAGGAGAAACAAAATGACTTGATCTAACTTCCTCTACAACAGCAAAACAGCTCATACCATCGGTTCATGTTCTTTCAGCAATTGGTGTTCTTGAATTGTTTGTTAAAACATGCCCAGACCTGCAACTTGATATGGCTGTTTTAGAGTCTTCCAGACTTAGGTAACTGGGCAATAAAAATAAGTTCATATCAATATTTGTACTCACTGAAAATTCTGCTTATGTTAATTCATAACCTCTCCTTGGCTATGGTTTCAGGTATTCATACTACTTGCCGAATGCAGGTTCAGGAACTTTCCCTGTATCAACATAATGTTTAGACTTCAGCTTTTCAAGATAATGCTTCCAAAATAACTTGAAGTTAATCACACATCACAAGAATAAATTATGTGTGGGCTGTGCCGGTGGCGTGCTTTCTCTCTTCAAAATGATTCACTGATTATTTTTGTAATTTTTTTTTCCTGA